TCTGAACACTCACAGTGTCTTATTCAAAAGACAAACAACGGGCATTCATCTTGTGCTGGGACAGCCTGCGCTGTGGGAGATAACAAGCCTTCAGTCCATTCATTAAAAACCAGATGGAAAGCCTTATTCTTATGCTGCGAGTTAAACTGAACAGGTGAATTCCATTGCTGCACATTTAGCCATTTAACCAAAAATGAGAGACTTTAGCATATCAAGTAAATATCGGTATCATGTGCCGACATTACTAGATTTATGAACCAGTCAAACAGCATTCATTTGAGTATCATTGTCAGTTCTCTCTCTGGCTGTCACCAGCAGAGTGTGCTTTATGGATTACAACAAGCATGATCACTCTCCAGAGAGTCAAGAGGGACGCACGTACATGCACAGTTTCTTTCCAGTTGAGAGACCGTCTTTGTCTCCATTCTAAATCTTTTTCACAAGTGTTTGAAAACTGCATTTGAGGGATCAACACAATAAATGTGTGTATCTATATCTATCGCTACAACTCGAAGATAGAGCTAAGAAAGATTATGGCCAATATATCAGTATCTGATTCCTCCTCCCCCAATATCGGTATCAGCCCCAAATATCTCATATCCGTCGGTCCCTACTAAAAATGATTACATAACTATTAACAATAGTACAGGCAAACACAAAACTGCTAGCAGACAGCTTCATCAACGAAAAGAAAAAAATCTAAAAAGATACAAGAAAAAGGTTCATTTCAAACAGAGTGTGTTAGACGTACTTTTACACTCTCGTAGTAAATGTTATATATACCTTCTCAATTTTTGCAGGGACACCAAAAATCAGCACACACTTCAAGCCGTTCTCCACCAGGGGCTTCAACATGCCCTCCAGTTTGTTCACTCCATATCTGTTAATGAGAATACATGAGTGTTAGATGAAACATAAAAGACTCTTTCAGACAAATACGTAGAAGGGAAGCTGACAGACAACTCATCACATACCATTCATGGAAGTAGTAATACGAATAACAGAACCATTGTTGGATTTTATTTATGAGAGTGCGTTAGAACAACAACAACAACAACAATAATTCAACCAGGAGGTCTAAGTATTTAAGACTTCGAGAGGATATGGGGGAATATATATTTTTTAAAAAGCAATTTCAAAGCCGACAAACTATGAAGGTTTTGTTGAGAGAGGCATAGAGGCCTAACGGATTTCCTTCTTATCTTGGACCAGGTCCAGTGTTTGGCTCTGGGTCCACCCTGCTTCACTGCTTTTATCAGAAGACAACACCCTGAATGGGATCACAGCTGCAGTGTAGCACTGTGTGAGTCATGTAATCCTGAACAATACTTTTTAAACTCTAAACAGAGCCAAGGTCTGTTAATGGCTCCGTAAAACACATACCGGTACTTGTTTGTTGTTGTTGTTGTTCTAAATATCTGAACCTACAGTTTGCACTTCTGAGACGGTCCTGACTGGATGATTTGCGATAATTCTTACCTCGCCTGTCCAGGCAGGCTGCCAATGGGCTCCACTGCATCTTCACTGTCTCTGTAGCAGAGAGTGATAAAACAATAAGATTATTATGACGATGACAGAGTCCGATGATTTGCATTCAAAGTCATTTCAGTTGAGCTTTTAACTTTTGTTTTTTTATGAAATTAATGTGATTGGTATTTGTATGTAATTTCAGGAAACAGACTAATTTCATTTACGTGACAAAGATAGGGTAGATAAGATTGTCTGGTCTTAGGTCAGCAGCGCAGGTCTGCCAGAATCGGAGTGTTGGGTGGAAATAGCTGCTGTGGAGGATCGACTCTGCTGGTGTCTGCATCTTTACCCTGAGACAAAGAGTGAACACGAGTCAGAGAAAACACAGAAGGAAAGACATGGAAGAGACGGGCTTCTGTTTTGACTTCACGAGCAGAGACAAAACACAGCTCTCAGCTTAACCCCCTGTGAAAACTGAGCAAGCATGCGTGATGCTGCTTCTCTAAACAGCAGCTTAGCTCTGTCTCGCTGCTGAATAAGCAAAGAGCAGGGTTTTTCCCTCGTCTTCTCATGTATTTAGGTTATACGATTAAAAAAATGACAGTTTTCTTTCTCAATTTCTCACTGCAGAACAAATCTATATATTTGAATGTAACACTTGCAGGGGCCCATAAAGTTAAGTAATAATACAAAATATCCATTAACTGACTTTTGTTACTCAGTATTTGAAGTGTGGATTATCTGATCTTTCTGACCCAGCACATGATGCAGGTTTTAAACTGCATCATGTGCAACGTTTAACTGTGTTTAAGGTTAAAAGAGCTTAAACACAGTTAAATGTTTTAAACATCAACTTGTTAAATCCATGTTTTAATCTTGGTAGACATTTTATATGGTCTATAACCAATAATACTATTTCCTATCGAAACAGAAGTAGCTAATCTCATCAGCATTCACTCGGCGTGTCATAATTAAAACATACATTTCTGTAGATTTAACACTTAGAGGAAATACATAGTAACAAGTTAACTTAATGCACAGCCTCATTTATACTGTGCTACTGTCAATGTGATCTAACCATTTTCAAACTCATGACCTTAAAAAGTCAAATCGATATAATTTGACACATGTTAACAGGTACAGGTGTGTTTTAGACATTTTCACTTCCAAGTTCTACTTCAACCACTTAGCCTACAACAAGAGAACATGTCACCTTGTCACCTTGTCTGGGAAAAATACATTCGTAGTAACTACGTGACGAACGTGTGAACATTTATATTTACAGATACGATAAGGCTCTAATGTCGTGTATCTGACAGACTTTAATGTAAAAACACTTAGAGCAAAGGTTCATGTGAATGTACTTACTTGTGACGGTGTGAGTTACAGTCTGCTCCACACGGTCCTCCAGTCAATGGACTTCTTTTCTCCTTCTTGGAAATGTTCTGGCGGTTGGCAAGAAACGAATTGGTGCATATCCGCCACCTACAGGTATGGAGTTGTACTACCTAAAATTCACGTATACTAAAATACTATTACAAACTAGCTTGTATATCCTACCTGTAGTGGCGATATCTATTGTCTATAAATGACAAAAATTCCAAACAAATTATAAACTTAACACAAACTCATAATAAAGCCACTGAGGCACCTAGAGGGAGAATCTTACGCAGAATATATTAATAAGTGTCCAGATGATGATTGAAGGTTTTAGGGTGCTTTATTTTATCCAGAGACATCGAGCAGGCAACAAACAACAAAAAACGCTGCTGTCTGTCTTGCCCTGTCATCCTGCCATTGCGTCCTGGCTTCCTGCTAAAAAAAACCATTAACCCATTAGGTGCCTACCTGAGTCTCACCTGGCTACCTGGCTATATAGACACACCCATGTACAGACTCCACCCTTATGCCCCAAGTAACAAAATAAACAAATGGAAATAACTCATGTGAATGTAAACAATAATAATCAAAATACCCCGAACATAATCTAATATTCAAATGTATCGCTAAAATATCCCAAAATAAGAAAATAGACTTTCACTTAATTTAGGAACAATGAATAACCAGGGTGAAGATAGTTTCATATTTGACATTCGCCTGTTTCAATAGCTCCGAGTCAAAGCTTCAATTTCTCACAGTTTGGGGATATGTTGGAGAGCAGATTAAAGCAGACGTTTCACAGTTTTGATAAACTTCAAAAAACCAAAAATAACGATGCAGCTCGGAGTTAGGGACAGTCGTAAAAGTGCAATACGGCTCATTTCAATATTCAATAACTTCTTTGTTTTTCAACATAGACATCTCAATCCACAGCCCTCATCATTTCACACCAATGAATACAAAATAAAAATAACTCTGCAAATCATCATTATCAATGACACATTGCCTTAAATAAGCACATTTCAAGGTTATAATCTCAATAGATTTCTCATTTTTGATTTTATTGACATCAAATCAGCTCTCATGTGTCCTGGACATCCTCTCACAACTTTCACAGCTCTTAGTTAGTATAGAAGGCCATTAAAAAATGCCTTAATACCATTATCAAGGGATTATCGCTTTAAATACATACTTTTCAAGGTTGGAATTTTCAATAGCTTTCTCATTTTTGATTTTGATCAAATTACCTCTCATCTGTCCCAAACATCCCAAATATTTTACATAGATTAACCCAGAGATACGAACCCCAAAAAGGGCATAATATGGGCTCTTTCAATATAAGGTCTTTGTTTGTAGAAAGAAAGTTGTACCGAACTACAAATTCAAATTGTTGCAGTGTGATGATTTTTTTTTTGTAAAAGCTTTGTATTAAAATTGTTTAAAGGAAAAGAAACTGTTGTCTTGACTGACTATCACCAAGTCCTTTTTTTTAGAGAGTTAAGAAAAACAGTTACAACTTATTGTAGCCTACATGTTTTAAAAAACGTAGCTGCTGGTGAATCTTTATTTAATTATGTTTTATCGTAAAGAGGTTGAGGTAGATGATGAATCAGTTCAGTATAAGCCTATGTTATCATACAATGCCGGAAATAATACAGAGAAAGAATAGATGTTTATTGCCATTTGCACAGGTACAAGACAGTACAGGTACATTTGAATTATTGTGCGTTTCTCCCTGAGTCAGCTTCTACAAAAAAAGTTAAAATTATATATAAAATAGAATATCATTATAAGAAAAAAGAGTAGAAAAGTACAAAAAAAATTAAAAGTAAAACTAAATAAGTTGCAGTAACAGCTAAGTGATTAAAAATAAACTGTACAATAGTTATACACTGTAATAAAGCAAAGATATAATACAAAAAAATAACAAAGGGGAGCACTGTACAATAAAAGAAAGAAGAGAAACTAAAATCAGGATGTTTGGAGAGGAGGAGCTAGTTTATACTTGATGTTAATTCGCTATTTAAGGGAAACTGGGTCAATCAACATATTTGAGTGTTTTTGTTGCTGTAGTTTTGTCATTAAGGGTGTACGCTCTGGACCACACTCCAACACAGTAGGTGGCGCTAAAGCACCTGAAAGCTGAGCGCCAGCCGCCATTAAACGGAAAGAGACGAAGAAGAAGAATCCGAAGCTACGATGCTAACGGCTCCTTAGTTTCGCTCCTCATTAGATGAAGGGGAAGATGCCCCCAACTCATTAAGGTACAGTAATGTGTGTGAGGTGTGTTAAATACATTTATATAATCTTACTCTTGTGTTACGTTGTAAATATGATTGATTATTTAATCTCTGGCTGTCTGTTGTTAGCTTACATTGTCAGTACATGGCTGAATGTTGGTTGTAATTTGTTCGACTGGACCTGAATCTTTAATAATTCATTATGTGTCATCCACTAGTATCAAAAGACACTTAAGTGAAGCTTATCAAGCTAAAAAATGAACTGCCACTGTAATGAACCGTCGGTAGCTGATTGTTTGAGTCACTGCCTGCTTGTTCTTAATGTAGTTAGATGTATGTGGGCCCTGTCTACTTTCAGTCACAATGTGTGTGTGTGTCTGTTTTTACATTGACTCTGATACGTGTAGCTTTCACCATAATATTTTCTCATTTCTTTCTCATACACCAGGAAGGGTTTCCAAAGACACTCTGACTGGAATGACTCCCTGCAGTCTCTCCCCAAATTATCCACCTGAGCAGATTTGAAGATGTAGCAAGAGTGCAGTGAAGTGGGTTAGCTCTGCAGTACCTCAACAGTCCTGCCTGGACATAATTGGCAACTTTTCACCTCCACCCTTTCTCTGGAGGTTGTCCTCAGTGCGTCCGTCCTTGGTTAAAGACCCTACAGGCCTCAGTCATGCTGTTCTCCCTGAGGGAACTGGTCCAGTGGCTGGGCTTTGCCACATTTGAACTGTTCCTGCACCTGCTGGCTTTGCTAGTTTTCAGTATACTGGTTGCTCTGCGAGCTGACATGTTAACCCAGTCCGTGAGCTGGTGGCTGGTGTTCGTTCCACTGTTTGCTGCAGACGGCCTCAGCACCTACTTCACAGCCATTGTGTCCATCCGTCTCTACCAGGAGAATGAGAAGCGTCTGGCAGTGCTACGGCTCCTCTGGGTGCTGACCGTGCTCAGCTTGAAGCTGGTGTGTGAGGTTCTGCTGTGCCAAAAACTGGCGGAGCAGGAACAAGCAAGAGACCTGTGGTTTGGCCTCATCGTTTCACCCCTGTTCATCCTGCTGCAGCTGCTGATGATACGAGCATGTCGCGTCAACTGAGGCGAGGCAGATATTGGTTTCTGCTTTCACTTCACCTACAATGCAGTAGAAGAGAGCAATCTTCATCGGTCATTAGAGATATAAAACATAACAATGGTCTACCTTTTTTTTTCTTTGGCTCATTGCCAGCTTTTTTTACTAACAGCATTGTGCAGATTTTGCACAAAGCACATTTCATGTCTCACCAGAAGCCAAGTTTATAAATGTTGTGTTCCTAAGAGCTTCATAATAACCAGAAGTTTTGCCGCTTACAACAGTAATAACACAGTATTTTTTAAAAGCAGTAGACAATCTCCTCTGTATGTCGCGACATTCTTAAATGAGTAGTTTTTGGACCAACGTATGGTCATTAATGTACTCTGATGGGGCCTTTTTCAGCAGTCCTGACCCCGTAGTTCCAATAAATTTAAGTCTTTCTGTTACAGAATGCAGTGAAATTTAAACAATAATTCCCCTTAATACTATTTGGAAAAAGTTCAGAGGATTCCCTTGGCAAATGCTTATAAGAATATAGTTTTCTAAAATTAGTGTCCCAGAAATTAAATGAGCCTGCGCAGAGTCCTGGTTGTAATCCCATCCAATACTTTTGGAATCAACTGTAACAGAGACTCTGTGCCAGGCTTCATTACCCAGTGTCAGTGTTGCATGTCTAGTGGCTGAATTGGAGCAAATCCCTGCAGCCAAAATCTAGGAAAAAGAAAAGTGGAAGGGCTTAAAGGATTATTTTAACCAGGATTGTATTGGAAGGCAAATGATTAGGTGAGTATTTCCTTTGGCCATATAGTGTTAACGTGTTCTCAGGTACCTGCTGCTACATTGAACTTTTTAGTGAATTCTGAAGACTTACTTGAAGTTACTTGTCACTGCAAAATGGTACTAATTACTCTGCTGTTGTTTCAGTTCTTTTTTTCATCAGGATGGATTACAGCTGTTGGTTTTTGATACTTTTAGGAATGCAAATAATTAGAGCAGTAAATGTGTATGTGGGACATGGTGTGTGTTTAGTTAGTGCAATCAATGGAAGACAATGAGCCATAAGAAAAACTTATACCAGAGTTATGTTTGTATGTACACTAAACACACAAAAGCTGGCGAAACCTTAAGGCTGTCCTGCCAGTTGCACCTTTTTGGGCAACAGTGATTGTTCAGAGAATTGAAGAAGTTTCCACAGTTTTGTTGTTTTTTTCATAGAAGATACTACTTGCCAGCAAAGCTAAGTTGGGTTTATTATCTTGTGTCACTGTGTTGCCTGTTTTGGGGAATGCTGCTTATACATTCCCCCTGGTTGCCTGGTTTGTCATTTCCACCAATGAGGCTGCTTCTAAAACTTGTTGTAACCTTAAGTCTCGCCCCTGTGTTGAGGAGCTAAATGTGATATAAACAAGCAGTCAATTGTGTGCAAATGTTATCCTTCAATATTGTTGTTTATTTGTACCATATGTAATGTATATGACCTGTGTTGGAATCTACCTTGTGTATGTACTGCATGTATTTAAAACCTCATTTGAAGATAATTCCCCCATGTGAAATTTCTGTGTAATATGTACATGTTGATTTGTTTTTAAGAAATTCACCAAATCTTATTTATGTTCTCGTCAAGGCACCATATGTGTCATGTTATCTGTATATAAATGTAAATAAACCATCAACATTTAATCAATATTGTCTGGTCAATATGTAAAGGGGTGGGCTTTGGTGTCTGGCCACAAGGAGGCGCTACTGGCCTTTTGTATGGGTATAGCATACAAAATGTGAAAGACCATACATTTGTGGTTTTGCACTGTTTTCTCATATATAGATGTTACACATCATTATTCATTAGTATTTCCTGCTTGTGCTTCACAATATATTATGCAATGTGGGTGATGTCAGTTTACAGACTTTGGTGAGATGCATGAAAGTAACTGTTATTAGGTTTCAGTCAGACAGCCATGTATCGATGCATGTTGAGATATTCAGACTTAAATCAGTGTGATTTGGTGCTTTAATCGTGTTATGTTACGCATTAAAAAAGTTCAAACTTTAAAAGTATCAGAATGTTGGCCTCAAGTAGCCTACATATCAACACCATCCAAAAATGAAAACTCTTATTTAAGTGACCACTCAGATTCACAGATATGACCAAAGAGGTGAGCTTACCTGTCCCAGTTCTTTAGTTTCTATCAACTCAATTTAAAGGGAAAAACCAAGGCTACGTTGTGCCCCCTATTTTATTGCGTTTTGTTTCGCTCACTGTGCTCTTTGCCCTTTGTTTCCTTAAGGATGGTTCACTGATAAATGTTTGATGAGATACAGCAATCTCCTTCAGTACTAAACAATAGCCCTCTTAGTGCTGATTCATTTGCTGTAGGATACTTCTCAGCTCATGTGTTTACCGCAGCCGGATTATCGACAGGTGGCGTCACCGGCAAATGCCGAATAAACAGTCGACAGCCTTCATCCGGTACAGGCTATGTCCTAATTATCACACGCCAAACTCTATAAACAAAAACAACTCAGGGCTGCAGGATTCATTTACAGCATCAGTGGTGAAGAGATACATCTTGTGAAAGGAAAACGAGCAGACAAAATAAGCTATTTGGAGAAACCATTTTAAGTATTTTAAACAAAAATGGCCCCAAAAAATGTCTTTATAAGTTTTATGACAACTGTATGTGTGCAAAATATATTATCTACAAATCTATAAATAAATCTGTAAACGATGAATGGACAAATTGGGTTATGTCGTATAAAAAAGGAAGGGGTGGGTTGAACCTGAACGCAACACTTTGACTGACAGGCCTTCCCTGCCCAGTCAACAATAGAAATGGGCGTGGTTTGAATAAATGAGCGGCGGTCTACAGAGAAGGAGGGGGCGTGTCTGTACGCCATAACGACCAATCAGGTAGCAGACGGAACTACCGAATCGGCCCGATCCGCTGCGGAGGGGCGGGGCCGCGTTCAGGGACTGTGTGGAGAGAAGGAGCCAGACAGTGAGGTAGCAGAGGGAGAGGAGAGAGAAAAAAGAGACGGTAGGGATGTTTGTGACCGTGCGGTAGCTGTTGCTGCAGGTACTGTCAGATCCGGATACAGGTTTTTATAGCCGCACCGGACCAGCGGCACACCGCCTCGGGGTCTGCCTCTCTCCTCTTCATCCCTTCTAAACAACCCTCGGAAATGTCTGGCGGAGGAGAGGTTCGCGTCCTACGCCAAGAGGCCGGGCAAGAGAGCCCGAGGATGCCGGCCTGGAAGCGAGAGATCCTGGAGAGGAGGAAAGCTAAGGGCGGGGGGTCTGGGGGAGCCGGTTCCGCTGAGACGAGCCCCGGCGGTGCGGGCCCGCAGCGAGTCAACGGCGACTGTGCGGGAAACGTTAACGGGAGCAGCGGCAGCGTACCCAAGAGTGACAGCGGAGCAAGCGGCGGGTCCGGGCGGAACTACACCATCACCACGGCCAGCCAACATTACTCGAACAACAAAGAGCCCCCTCGTCCAGCGGCCCCGGAGAGGACGTTTTCGAGGGAGGACGAGAGGCAAGAGAGTCTAGTGCTGCAGGAAAGCCTGGGCCCGCTGGAGGAGAACCCATTCATCAAGCTGGAGAAGGAGCGGAGGAGGCGGCAGGACCGAGACAGCGCCGCTCGTCCGGTGCAGCACATCCTGGAGCTGTACGGCAGCGTACCCGGCATACGGACTATCCGCGCAGAGAATATCATCATCATTGAGTCAGACCCGGATTACTTTCCGGAAGCTGGAGGGTTAAAAAGTGGGTCTCAATGGCAGCAAAACGGTGTCAGTAGTTATAGCTCTTTGAACGACCTCCTGGACCGGAGAGGGAGTGCTGTTACCGAGATAAGAGCCAAGGAAGTGGTTATTTATGACACCACGTTAAGCAAGAGCGAGGAGAACCTGAGCACCCTGGGCCGCCCTGATCATGAGGTCTCCTCATACGAGACGGGTCAGGGCCAAGGCAGGGTCAGCCGGATGCTGCAGAAGTTCGACAGCAACTACGGAAAACTGCAGAAGAAGTCCCACAGCACAGAGAACCTGCTCGACCTGGATTGTGGTTCCAGCAGCAGGCCAAGACTCTGGTCCAAGCAACAGCCAGATCTGGTGCCAAAGCCCAGGCCCGGCCCATTGGTCAGCAGCTCGGGCAGCAGCCAGCCATCGTCACCTGTCTTCCAGGGTTCCTGGTCTTCCAAACCAAAGCCACAGACTGCCGTCCCCGACCTGGGCAGCCCTAAGCGCTCTGCTGCGCCCCCCCCAGTCTGTGTCTTCATTCAGGCAGCGGTTTGAGGAGAGCGGAGGTCGTGGAACAGCTGTCACCTCGAGAGATGAACCAGACAGGGGGCAAACAAAGCCCACCAGGGAGAGAGACTGTGAGGGTGCAGACGTGCCACCCAAACCCAAGGTGCCATGCTCTCCGGAGACCCTTCTCGCTCGTGCCGTGTCCCCCTCAAGCCCCCTCTCTAAGGCGTCACGCTCCCCGCCTGACTTTGAGATCCGTCCATCATCAAAGCCAGACCTCTCCAAAATTCCCGATGGGGACCTGCAGGCACGGGCCCTCGCAAACCTGCGTCTGCAGTCCAGAAACTCCTTCCAAGTGGTCCCCAAGCGGCGTCCCAGCCCAACACCGACGAGCCCTGTCAGGTCCTCCCCCTCCCACAGAGGGACGGTGATGCCCACGCCAGGAGTGCCAAACTCCCATGCCCCCATGCCCACCTTGACCCCCCTCAAAGAGGAATGAGGAGAAAGAGGTGGAGAGGCCACCCAAGCCAGAACCAGAACCATCTCCCTCTGTTGCCACAAGTTCTGTGCCTCCTCCAGCCACAGAACCATTGTCTCCACCTCCCGTTCTAAGCCCAGTTCCCTCCTCTCCACCAGCTCCGTCTTCACCCCCGTTGTCTCCCTCCTTCTCCCCAGCTCCCTCAGACTCTCCTGCCCCGTCTCCTGTTCCTGCTGCCCCGTCCCTCGTGGTTCCCGAACAGCTTCCTGTGGATCAGCTGCCAGTAACAAACATAGATGACATTGATGTGGAGCCCCCGCAGCGAGTCCCTGTCCCCAGCCCCTTGGTGCACAGGAAAAAGGGCAACACCTTCACTGTGGTACCTAAACGCAGGCCGGAGCCCGAGGCTCAGCCAAGCTCCCCTGAGCCCCAGCAGGAAGCCTCCACTGAGGGTCCACCGGGGTCCACGCCTCCACAGGCCCCCTACTCTCAGCTGGGGTCCCTGCTGAAAAAACGCTACCCTGCTGTGGAGGACATCGAGGTGGTCGGTGGGTACCTTTCCCTCGAGAAGTCCTGCCTCTCCAAGACCGGCTCCACAGGGAAGAAGGTGAGAGCAAAATCAAACTCTAAATGAGTTGCATTTTTTTTTGACAGATTTTACAATTTAGCCTGCAGCATGGTGCTGAAAAGATAAGTTGATTGATTACTCAAACCATATGGATTATTATCTCAAATTTTAATCATTTCTCAAGCAAGATGCCCTCAAACCAGCTGGTTTTAGCTTGTCAAATATGAACACTAGACTTTATCAAGGACAAAACAAGAAATGAAATATCATCCCTGGGATTTCTGGATGTCTCTTTTTAAGATGTTATGACAATTGGGAGACTAAATGATAGTCATAAAATCGAAAACACAAAAAACAGATTCAGCAGCACTGAAATAATCCATTTTCTGCGGCTGTTTTGCAGCCCTTTTTGAAAACACAAACAGACACTGGAGCGCACACTAAGTAGGGATATTATTTTGTGCTTAAAATCTTATGCATAACATGTGCCAAATCTTCCCAGGGGGATCGTTCCCTCTGATCTAAATTTAGCACACACAGGAAAGGCTTTGTTAGTGTTTTCTTTTTCTTTTGTGCATCTGCTGCTTTTATTGTTCCTTTTCTCAACCTGGTGCACTCCAGTCACCTGAGCTTTTCAGGTATTCAGGCTGGCATTTCCACTTCTGGATAATCCTCCCAGTTATTTCCCTGTGCAGTGTTTGTGAGTGAATGTGTCTGCTACACTAAGCATCCCATCACTTGACCTGCTCTCAGGCCTGACGGATGGATTAAAAGCATGTGTTTACACAGCCACTTGGAACCACACGCAGGGCTTTTCGCCTGTGGATTGCCGTCCCACAAAGGCATGTTATTTGTCGCAGAGCGCATTATTGGGTTAGGTGGCCCTCCAAGCCTATTGACTGAACAATCTCATCAAGGCTGTATTCAATGCTCAGGATTTGGCTCGGGGATTCAGGGCCAGCTCTAACCTGTCCTTAAGTCTCAGGAACATATTAATTACTTTGAACATTCATCTGTTCTAACTAAGGTTGTCAAAGTGTTTGATACTTACATGCTCTTGATACCACATTTAAAAACAATACAATCTCTCTGTAATTTGAATGATCAATGGTATCGTAAAGTACTGAAGCTTCAGAATACCTTCAGATCTTCGTCATATTTAACCAAAAGCTGCAAAAGAGAGAGAGCACAAATAGGTTAGTTTGTATGGAAACATTTCCCACATATTTAAGACACTATTGAGAGGTCTGCCTTCCTTTTTTTTGCTATTTAAAAACAAGACGTTACCCATTAGTGGGTGACAAGGTCTCATGGTATCAGAAAAGGTATAAACATTGTTATTAATAGAATCATAACATTTAAAACATCTGGTTTCATGGCAACCCTCTAAGGCTGGTTCTGAGATTAAAGATTAGGAACATTGTAAATTTGTTCTTAGGGCATCATTATCTTACAATCATAATTACATATCTTGTTTTTTATTGGCCAAGGTCTTGATGCAAATTGCTTCGTGTTTTTTTTTCATCTGTATTGGGGATTAATTTAATATCAGAGAATGTTTTTTCTAATTAATTTGCTGGATGCTGCAGGCTGCTTTCAGATTCTGCTCTGGAGTGTCACACATTATTTTCAGCATGGCACTGTTTATGTCTCTCTTGACAGCATAACATCGCAGCCCATGGCACTTGTTTATTTTATTTTTTTACTATTAAAGCTCATGTGAGGAGTTTCAGCTAATTAGAAAACAGACTTTATTGAATACTGGTGCCTCTATATGACCTACAAGAGCAAAATGAGTTGTTTACATTTTCAGCAGCATAGATTCACACTGACAGCTGGATCAGAAGTAAAAATCTCCTTTCCATATCTTAGTAGCTTAAAGTACTACATGTATAGCATCCTGGTGGTGGTTCAGATGCTTGTTGTGTAAGGCCTGTAACCTCACCTTCATCAAATGTCACCCTTCATCCTAATTGTTAGTCAGGCCTATCCTTCTTTAAACTTTTAGGTTGCGTTAAGTTACATCACAACACTTCCCTTTGTGATCTTCAAAGGCCCACATTGCCTCTAATGCAGAGAGCTTTGGCAGCGCTTCAATGTAGACTGTTGCTCAGCCTCTTAAACTTTGGCTTGTAGTCCATTTTCCTTGACCTGGTCTGCTGTAATCATCTGCTCTCCAACTAAATCCAACCAGCCTTTTACAATCAGGGCAAGAAACTCATGCGACTCGTGATTCTGTCAAGTGGAAACAGTGACCGACTGATCCCCAGGCTGTCAACTTGCAGCTATTTGACATTTGTTCTTTGCACGGCCTGGTGTTGTACTACAGTACTCCATGGCTGCTTGCTCACATTTGCCAGTTTAAGACTGTTTTACAATTTATTACAGTTTACCACATTCATTTTGAGGTTGTATAGTTCAGACAGCGGTTTGAGGAGAGCGGAGGTCGTGGAACAGCTGTCACCTCGAGAGATGAACCAGACAGGGGGCAAACAAAGCCCACCAGGGAGAGAGACTGTGAGGGTGCAATATTTATATTTATATTTTATATTTATATTTATATTTAATTAAGTAATTCAGTTTTTTTTCTTATTGATTAGAATTGTCCCTTATTCTTATAGATTTTTAATCATATTCCTAGGTATTGTTACATCACTATTATTCAGGTAACCTTCTTGTATTTGGACAAAATAGAGACAAAAAAAAATCTTGAATGAAAAATTATTTTGTTTAAAATGTTCAAAATAAGGAATCCGACATGTATTGTTCGATATTGAGACAAAAATATCTGTCAATGATGGAGTTGGCTCAGTAAGCTTTTTAAAACTGCCGGCAGATATTTCCCTATACCTATACAACATTTTCAATTCCTAACACATGAACTGATATGTTTTATATCACACAGTTAAACAGTACCCTCTCAATACCAAATGTTGTTCATAACTCTACATTTAATGCCATTAAACTATTCTTCTTAAGCACTGAATCTATCACAACATGGCAGTACTGACTCATTTTCAAGTGTATTTTTCATTACAACATGTTTTCTATGCAAGAGGGAACATGTGTCCATCACAGCTCAGCTACTTTCACAATGATATGAGTTGATGGTGGCATTACAGAAACTCCATTACTTTTTATGTATAAGCTTCACTTAGCATACAAAGATAACATGGAATCATTTTTATTGCTCAGTTTCCTTTTACTATAACCTAATATACCTTCACGTTCAGAACTGCTACTATAAAAAGACAATTTGAGCAATATGAAATTGCTGGAAGGGATTGACAGAAATCAGACGAAAAGGGGTTCTGGGCTCCTGATTTGTAAATAAATGTAATACTCATTTGGTCTTGCACTTAATCTATGAGCTATTTTTCAAAGTTTCACAGTTTCTCTGTTCATTATTAAATTATTACCAGCTGTTAAAGTAGAAGCTTCATACTAGATACATGTTTTTAAGATAAGGTTTTTTTCTGCATGCATGTGAAATCATGTAATTACATAAGAAAGACAAAAGTGTCCTTCATTTTGTTATTGCATGTAAAGAAAATGTTTGCAGGGTAATAACCTTTTTATTTCCTGCTTTTCGTGAAGACAGCATGTGGTTGTGGTAAATATGTTTGCATGCTTGAATACATGTGATCCTAGAGTGAGTATGAGATATTACTGATAATAGAAAAATGAGCCTCAGACTCACTGTACCCAGAAGCCCTATATTTTCTGGTGCACCACTATTTTAAATGGAGGTGTGTTGATGTCTTGAGCAGATTTTTCTCCATATTTCATTTTAAATGAGTGTCATAGTTTTGGTAACAACTTGAGGACTTTGACAAAGCTCTGGGGTTCTGAGTGATGCTTGCCTGCAGAACATGGCGATATAATGAGAGATCTTTGGGCTGCTGGCTTTTGTGAGTCAGCCTGACCCATGAAACCTAGTTGTGATGAATGCGTTCTTATTGTGCTCATGTGCATGCAGGCTACCAGTGACCGTGGCCATGAGACATGAACACATCCTGTCTTTTGTCCTTGTAAACCGAACACTTTCTCCCTTTTGTTGTGTGTCTGCTCTTCTTGGTCATCATCAAGGCACACATTTTTTTTCTTCCTCTTTTCTCTTCTGGGCAGGGCTGTGTAGGCAATTACAAAAGCATCGGGGCTCGGCCTGGCCTGTATAATTTGTGTGGAATTTTTTGTTCAGTGCCGCTTCTGTGCGAGAGCAGCCTGCGAGAACGGCCTCGGCTCAGCATTCTGGTCTGGGATCGGGTTTTTTGAGCACTTTATTTTCCCCCTACAAACCCAAACCATTTTATGAGGAACTTGGCCGGAAAAGAATGTTCCATATGTACGTCAGGACTTGAGAACTTCACCGAAACACATCATTAACTCTTCCTTTAAATGTTCCAAAAACATGTCATTCTTTCTTCGCTTTTCTTGCTGCATGTTCTGATTTTCAAACCTACATGAAAGCTAAATTGTGGACCTCATCCAGAACAATCTCCTGTGCCCTTATCGCTCCACAAGCACCACTCTGCTTTGTGTTCCCCCCCCCCCATACCCACAGTGCACTGCTTTATTCTTGTGCGGTGATGGTTAATAAGGCCTGTCCCCTTGCTTCCAGCTTCCTGTGATCTCCTCCTCTGTATTGGGGAAGGAATTGTGGAAGAGCTATGTAGGTCAAGTGCAGCTTCTTGTACCGCATCACTCTTTCATTTGCATAAAATCGACTTGGTCTTTCAAGTGAAATACACAGACCAGGATTGACACAGTTTTCACTTGCAGTTTGATTGGACGGGGCTGTCTTGACTTAGCCCAGGCAGAATTGACGGCTACATTTGTTTCCTCCCGATGGACAACGCCACTCTTTGTGGAGGAGGGACACAGCTGGCAACAAGACACCGAAGGAGGCAGAGTGGTTTGTTTTTGAGGTCTCTGCTGGTCTCTGTGATGGGTTATAATGGGAAAAGGGAGATGGACCCATGTGTTTGCCAGCAAAAGAAAGAGAGAGGTAGAAGCTTTGTGTGCTCACATCTTAGAGT